AATTAAGACTTTAGCCATCCATTACAACGAAATCTATCTACTGCGCAACGAAATGCATTTTGCTATCTACAACTTTTCTGATGGGCAAGCGTTCTATCCTGATTTCGCCTTGTTCCTTCAAGAGAAAAAGGGAAATAGTCATGTTTCAATTTTTCGTTGAACCTAAAGGTAAATTCCTCCAAGCGCATGACCAATGGAAAGAAGACTTCATGCGTGATATTACCACCGAATTTAAAGATAAACTTCTAACGTTCGATAGCAAAGGATTCCGTTTGATAGGTTTGCCATTCTATAATGAAGAAAATGAAAATCCATTCTGGGATGCCCTCAATGCTGCGTTAACAACCAAGTAGAAATTGACCGCACCATTTTTGACGAGCAAATTGACGATTTCCGCGCAGATTGATTGTGTCCTGATTGATACAGACTACACGGGAGAGCATTTCACTATAGTTGAGAGCGACGTTCCAGGTAAGAAGGAAGATTTTGTTGACAAAGAATACACTGTATCACTGCCGCGTCCCGATGCCCGCGTCGCCGTAAAAATCATCGACATGCTCGGCGAGGAAACAGTTGTCATGGAATAACACCAATTATTCCAGAGGTCAGGACATCATTACTAACGCGTACTAATCACATTAGTTAAAAGAGATAAAGAGTAAGATAGGGCGTAGAAATATGTCCTACAATATGAGGTAGCATAATGTCAGAAGATAAGAGAACATTTACGGTTGGAGATTCACTGCGTACACCTGGGCCCGGTCAACTGAAAGAGCCTATTCTTAAAATTCTTGCAAATAGCGAGATATGGCAATTTATGGAAATTGTAGAAGAGTTTGCCGATCGTCTGAATATAACGGACGCTGATCGTGAAAGAGAGCAATTTCCAAATGGGGACGATCGGTTACCACGTTATTGCTCAAACGCATTAGTTGGGCTAAGAGATAAAGATCGTTTAGTCGAAAACCCAGTGCTCGGTTCCTGGAGAATAATGTCGACCCGAAAATAACAGCACCAAATGTGCCACGTCGGAATTCACTCAAAATTTAGCGGACGCATAAGGGAGACACTTGCTGAGCGAGTGAGGATGCACCAATGGTCAAAAAACTAAAACATTTAGAACTGATTCAAAATGTCATCAATCGGCTGGCGAATAGTTCCTTTTTCTTGAAAGGGTGGACGGTTATTTTCGTCGCCGCCGTGCTGGGGTTTGCGACAAAGGATTCCAAACCCATGTATGTTTGGTTGGCTGCGATTCCAACCATCTCCTTTTGAGTATTAGACGGTTATTATCTCAATCAAGAGTGGCTTTTCCGGCGGTTATACGATACCGTTAGAGAAACCGATGAAGATGAAATAGACTTCTCTATGGACACCGTCCCTTTTAAGCGGAGCGGAGACTGGTTTAAAGCCATTTTTTCAAAGACACTCCTGTTTTTCTATTTCACAATCCTAATTGTTATCGGAATAGTCCTGCTTTGGCAGCTAATTGGGCAGGATAAAGGAGTTTAATATGGCTCGTCGGACATTTTATAGTTTTCACTACAAACCTGACAATTGGCGGGCATCCCAGGTTAGGAACATGGGAGTTATAGAAGGAACTGGTACCCTTTGACGCATCAATTCTCAATTAGGTTATGATTTCAAAACCCTATCTACTAAAAAGGAGACATACGATGCGGGGTGTTACGTTTATTTTACTGCTAACAGTGTTTGTATTATCGGGTTGCAATCCCGACAGCGTGAAAAAGTCAGATACGGAAAAAATTGACACTGTGAAACAGTTGGATTGGGAAAAAACCGCCAACGAACAAAGATTAAAAATCGGGGATACAATCCTTGTTGAAGGTATTACGACAGATCGGCTTCACAGAGGCTATGGTAGAAACTACGATCTTGTTTTCAATCCTGATGGCGGTATAATTGAGTCTAAAGCCAGAAAATGGGAAATGGAAATTAATGCGATACTTGATAAGCCAGGGCCCATAAACCTCCATAAGAACCCGAATAGACCTATTGGCCTGGTCATCTCTACGATTTACAATCCGTCTGCCTATAATGCGTTGCGAAAGATAGATGATCTTTACCCGCCCAAAATGCTTAAAATGTCCGATCTACCCAGCTACGAACACAGACTCAAAGTTAAAGGGGAAATCTTCAGTTTTGAACGTGAAACTATAGAAAGTCATAGTGAGGATACCCCTGCTTATATTGTCTCCTGTGTTCGTATCGAAGTTTTAGAAATAGAACTGATTGACTCCAAACATCAACCTTCGTCGAGAGTTAGTAGAAAAAAGAAAGAAGATCTGATACGACCCTTTTGATAGGTTGTAATTTCGGTAAGCCCTCGTTTCCGCACGTTTCTGTCATTTTTTCAAACATTTGGAAATCATTGCGTTAATTTTTTCCCAGTCCCACGGAACCACCTCGCCTGCCCCAGGAACAGCACCGCCTGTACTGTTCTTCGGACGAATCTGAAAAATCGGTTTACATTTCTGATTTGTGATTGTCATCTCTTTTTTAACGCCAGGGGCGTTATGTGTGTCTTCCCCTATAACGACAATCACGATGTCCGAACGAGAAATCTGATCGTGTGCTTTCTTCAACCACTTATTATCATGTAGTTTATAGGGTTCGTTTAGTGAATAATCCTCAATCTCATGGCAGGAGTCTCCGTGGTCGACTTCCGCGAGGAAACGGCAATAATGTCCCTGATCTCTCTCAAACTCAAAACTTAGAAAAACTTTAACCTTTGCCATATAACCTACACTCCGCACTTGTTTTGACACATTTTGGTATTTTTAGACAAACCCACGTCACGAAAGGATCCAAACAGTATAAATCAAATTGAGAGATGGTAAATAAGATTTCATTTCGCACGTATATCTTCTCTGATCCACCTGAAATTGCTTGTTGAACGTTGGAACCACGTGGGTTTTAAAAATAAATACCAAAAATCCGAAATTAGAAGTGCGGAGTATAGGATATAACATTTCTCCTTTACCTCTTGTAGGAGCGATCTCTCCTTTACCTCTTGTAGGAGCGATCTCCGAATCGCGACACTTAGAAAAACTATAACCTTTGCCATATAACATTTCTCCTTTACCTCTTGTAGGAGCGATCTCCGAATCGCGACACTTAGAAAAACTATAACCTTTGCCATATAACATTTCTCCTTTACCTCTTGTAGGAGCGATCTCCGAATCGCGACACTCAACTTGTGTTTCCTGCACAGGTGCTTCAGTCCCATTACCGAGTGCTTTCTGACCAGAAGACTTCAGTGCAAGTGCCAACTGCTCCAAAACCGCTACAAGTCCATCCGTGTCACTGCTGATCGCAAGCTGCTCAGGGGCATCCAGCGCAAGCGTCAACCGTTCCAAAACCGCTACAAGTTGAGGCGCAGACAAATTAGCAGGTGCCTGCTGTTCAACCGCTGACAACTTCTGCAGACTCTCCAGCGTCTTCGTCAACGAATTCGTCAGCATTTGCAAATTTTCACATTATGATTTTCACTATCTAACACATAGTTAATACGATCAGCATGTTTCACCAACAGTGCAACCTGCTCTACCGGAGATGTTAGTGCAATATCACTTATCGTATGTTTATGTTGATCTCGTGCCTCACGCCATAATGCACCGTACTTCTTCTCAGGCCACCGAGCTGTCCCAGGTTTCAAATACGACAACCGATGAACCAGCGTCTCACGAAGCTTCTGTACACCCAACGCGTCCTTTTGTGCTAAACGATTTATGATCGCGTCTTTGTTCATCAATTCCCAAGCCGCATCGGTAGTGGACACCCCTTGTGCGTGACACCGCACCACAAACTCCCGATGCTCATCTAATATAAAGCGCGAAATCCAGTCCAATAACTTGTCTTGGATTGTCTCTTGAATCCGGTCTAACTGATACTCTCCTATATTCTCAAAGTCACCGTCAATAGATTGATTTTCTCTTTCAGCCGCATAACGTTGGACACGAACTATAACCGCATCCGCCAATTCATGACCGTTTAGTTTATTAAACAGTTCTTTCAAATCCGAGTCTAATTCCGTACGTTCCTTCTCCGATTCGTCAAACTGTCCATGAAGTGCATCTTGAAGTGAAATCGCCCCTTTTTTTCTTGCCACTATTTTTCTCCTTTTGCTGAGTACTCTGAAATTTTCAGAGTAAGCTCTGAATACTTACATCGAAAATCGCCCACAACATCAGTCACAGTGTGGGTTTCCAACGTTTTTCACAGTCCTATTATTTCCCGATTTACTCTGAATACTCTGAAATTTTTAAACATGTTTCTAAAGAATATTCCGAATTTGTCCCAAATAAGAATTAAGTATAAATATGTTAATTATATCATTAAAAACGTCAATTGCAAAAATTTTCTGCACACCAGCGGCTAACCCCTCTTTCACTCTTCGACTCGTTCCAATCTGTAGTCAATAGGATTTACGCGCTTGGACAGGGCTATTTAGTTTTCGGTTTTTAGCCCGATTTTGGACCCCCAGGCCCGGTAGGCGCGGTTTGGAACCGCGCCGGACTTGAAAAAGAGAATCCAAAAATTTAGACAATCCGAGAATTTGTTTAAAACTATAGTAAAGTTTAGAAATAAATAGACACTTCTGCAGTCCCCCGGTAGGCACGGTTTCCTAACCGTGCCGGTGCAAAGTGTCCCATTAATTCTGGGATCCACTATAAATGCCCCTGCGCGCTTGGAAAATTACAGGGTAAAGTAGTAGGCATGCTCCGCCGGGTTCTCCGTCCACCAATACACACTCAGGTGATCAATGCCGAGACTTACGCGTCGCGTGTTTTGGTCATGAAATTGCGTAAGTCCTGATCAAAATACATTTCATTTCAGGTGGAGTCATTCAGTTCTTCGGTAGGAACGATCTCCAAATCGCAACTTCCGGCAAGGACACTTTTTGCTTGACAGAATTTGCAATAAGTGTTACCCTATTAAAAGTTATTTTTGTCAGAAATCGGAGAAATTCCTGATACATGCCAAATCGGAAAAGAAAGCCCAAGAACACACCTGCCTCGGACGTGAGCGGCGAAGATGATGTCGTGCTGCGCGAAACAGCACCTTTGCAGCTGCGCTATTACGGTGACCCGGTCCTCCGCAAAAGAGCCGAACCGGTCGTAGACATCACGGAGGCAGAACGCCAAATCGCTGTACAGATGTTAGAGACGCTATACGCGACAGGCAACGGTATCGGACTCGCGGCAACGCAAGTCGGTGTTTTGAAGCGGCTTATCATTGTCGATATAGGCGAAGATGACGATGAAACGTACGAACCCTTAGTGCTATTCAACCCAGAAATTCTGAGTGCCGAGGGAGAAGCGTTCGCTGACGAAGGATGTCTCAGCATCCCAGATGTGACGGCGGAAGTGAAACGTGCAGAGAAGATTGTCGTTGAAGGAATTGATGTCCAAAGCGAATTTGTGCGCATTGAAGCCGATGGTTTGTTGGCACGTGTGCTCCTACACGAGGTAGATCATCTCAACGGTGTGCTTTTTATTGACCGGATTAGCGGGTTAAAGCGGCAATTACTGAAAGACGAATTGCTGAGAATACAGCAAGCTGAGCGACCCGCTTGACACTTGAAACCTGCGCGCTATATGCGGAGGCAATGTATGCTAAAACAGAAACTTGAACCTACCCTACAGACGAAGCTTGACCGGCTCTATACGTGCTTGCGCGCTTATGAAAAGGTTATCGTCGCTTTTTCCGGCGGCGTTGACAGTACATTTCTCGCTGAGGCGGCACAACATGCATTAGGCGATAATGCGCTTGCTGTGACTGCTATCTCTGATTCTTATCCGATCCGGGAAATGAAGGCTGCACAAGAGATTGCCAAACAGATCGGAATCCGCCTTGAGACCGTCAATACGCAGGAATTAGACCTTGAAGGGTATGCAAGCAACCCGACCAATAGATGCTTTTTCTGTAAGACGGAACTGTTTGATAAACTGCGTCCCATCGCTGAAAAATACGACGTAGGAACGATCGTCTACGGCGCAATTCCAGACGATGTCGGCGACCACCGTCCTGGAATGGATGCCGCAAAGCGGATGGGTATCCAAGCACCTTTGATTGATGTGGACTTGATGAAGGCGGAGATTCGCGAGATTTCAAAGGTGTGGGAACTCCCGACATGGGATAAACCGGCGTTCGCCTGTCTCTCCTCTCGCTTTCCTTACGGTATGCGTATCACCCGTGAATTGCTACGGCAGGTGGATGCAGCCGAGCAATTTCTCTACGATTTGGGGATTCGGCAATTCCGTGTCCGGCACCACGGCGACCTCGCTCGAATTGAGTTGGAAGCACAGGAGATTTCGAGATTGCTTTCAAAAACCGTGCGAGGCGACATCAGCACACACTTTAAAACACTCGGATATGCGCATGTCACGCTTGACTTACTGGGATATCGTTCCGGGAGCCTGAATGAGGGGGTTACAACTACTTAACATCAGCAACCCGCTACAAATGCCACATCCACATCAAGAAGAACCTCACAAGGTTGTTTTTAAGGTTGGGTCATCAACCTTTGGGTTAGAAGGGGTCAGACTTGCTATCACAAGCAACCGTCGCATACTTCATCCGAAGTCGGAACCCCACAATCCACACAGAAAAGCACAGGATTCCCTAAGAATCTCACTGCTTTAGGTGTCGGAGTATGTCAAAGCAATATTAAGAGGGCGAAGATAATGTACAAACTCAAAGGTATTAGCCTTAAGACATACCGATCCACCAGAAAAATACAACGGCAGAAGAGGCGATCGATTTCAAGGGAACTCCCCGTTGAAAAAAAGACACTCACACAAACTGAAAAGGAATTGTTAGCAGGAAAAATTCGGGACGGTCGCGACGAAAATATTAACAAAAGTTTTGTGGGAAGATCAAATCCGGTCTACTTAACTATAACCGTGATCGTATTGACTGCGCTGTTTTTTGCTTTCATTGCTTGGGTCGTTAGCCATTCATCATAAATCGTAAAAAATTTAACATGTCGAATCAACATACACAACAACTTATCGGCGTAGACTCCTTCAATTGGAAGAAGTGGGACGCTTGCACGCATTGCGGACTCTGCCTACCCACCTGTCCAACCTATCGAGAATTAGGTTTAGAAACGGATTCACCACGGGGTAGACTCTACCTCATGGGGAGTGCCTTCAAAGATGAGGATGCCATTCCACTCAGCGAAGAATGGTCAGAATACATCTACCGGTGTTTAGATTGCCGCGCATGTGAAACTGCCTGTCCTTCAGGTGTCCATTTCGGGGAACTACTGGAACAGGCGCGTGCCATCTATGAACAGAATGCACCGCGCTCTGCAGCTTATCGATTTTGGACGAACCTCGTCTTCAAACAACTTCTACCCAATAAAGAACGGTTGGACCTAATGTTTGAGTTGATGTGGCTCTATCAGCGGCTCGGTATCCGATGGCTTGTCCAGAAACGGGTATCCTGAAACTGATGGGACAACTTGGACAAATGGAATCGTTACTGCCGAAGATCCCACCGCCGCAACTGAAATATACAATACGCGATATTACACCCGCCGAAGGCGAAACCCGGTATCGTGTCGGATTCATACCCGGGTGTATTATGAATCAGGTTTTCACGGAGACGAATGTCGCAACTATCCGAGTCTTGGCAGAGAACGGTTGCGAAGTCGTTACGCCACGAAATCAGACCTGTTGTGGCGCGCTACACCTTCATAATGGCGTGCGAGATGTCGCTTCAGCCCTTGCCAAGCAGAATATTGATGCGTTTGAAGAAGAGAATTTAGACGCTATTATCATCAACTCTGCTGGCTGCGGTGCGACGCTTAAAGAGTACGAAGCACTTTTAGAGAACGATACCATCTACGCAGCGAAAGCGGAACAATTCAGTCATAAAATGCGCGACATCAGCGAATTTTTAGCCGAAATTGAGATGATACCGCCGACAGGGGAAATCGCAAAGCGCGTTACCTATGATGAACCGTGTCATCTCCTTCACGGACAAAAGCGTAAAGGAGCAGCCTCGCAAAGTCCTTCAGTCAATACCCGGACTTGAGTTGATTGAACTAACCGAATCCGAATGGTGCTGTGGGAGTGCAGGAATCTATAACATCACACAGCCGGAACTTTCGCAAGAGATTCTGGAACGTAAGATGGCACACATCGCTGAAACCGATGCAGATATCGTCGCACACGGAACCGGCTGCTTGCTCCAGATTCAACTCGGTATTCAGAAACATGGATTGCCGATGAAAGCGATGCATCCTGTGAATCTTTTAGACTACGCCTATCGTGGTATCGCTCCAGAGGATTTTTTGCCTGAGCAGTAGCGAGGGCTATAGCGTAAATAATGTTTTTATCAGATAAAGATATTATTGAGTATATGGACAAAGGGAAAATCAAAATCTCCCCCGCGCCCGACTTGGAAACACAACTCGGTAGTTGCTCCATTGATTTCAGGTTGAGCAACACTTTCCGTGTGTTCGAGCATAGCAAGTACCCGTATATTGATCTCGGTGCAGAAATTGATACCGACGATTTGATGCGGAGGGTTGATGTGCCTGATGGTGATACCTTCACGATGCAACCGGGTGAGTTTGTCTTGGCGGCAACGCAGGAGAAACTTGAGTTGGCAGATGATGTGTTGGCACGGCTTGAAGGCAGAAGCAGTTTGGGAAGGCTCGGTATTATTGTCCATAGTACTGCCGGTCTCTTTGACCCAGGCTGGATCGGTATTCCCACTTTGGAGTTAGGAAATTTGGGTCGCATGCCGGTCAAGTTATACCCCGGTATGCGGATCTGTGCGTTTACCTTTGCGCAGCTCTCTTCACCTGCTCGTGTGCCATATCAACTCAAACCGGCGAACAAGTATGCCGGGCAAGACGGTCCCGAAACGAGCCGGTTCGCCAAAGATGTTGAATTCTCGGAGGAATAACCTCAAAGTCGCGGTTTTGATAGATGTGCGGTGCTATGCGCAAAAAAACGTGCAATCCTATGCCTAATAATTTGGCACGGTTTCGGAGTTTTTGATATGCGGCGTGACAAAAAATCGTAGCAGCAGACCGTTTCACGCCAACTTTCCGTCTTAGGTCGCTGTAATTCGTGGTTTTACACGGAAATTTACCTGTTTTCGTCAAATTAATGCCTACTCTGCTCAATCAACGTTGATTGGCATAAATTTTGCTTACCTATTCAGTAAGACACTCGTCAAGTGGTATGAGTTGCGCATTCAATTGACGAATCAAGGACATTTTTCTGAGTTATTGGAACGGGATTTTAGAGAAACCGCTGGACTTTTGTGCCTCGTTTCTCTGCGCCGTTTCATCAGATTGTAGTCTCGATCTCTGGATCGAGGGAGTTTTGAGTTTTGATAGCAAGTTTCGGCATGCAAGTTACGCCGAAATAGGAGGATATGTGAATGACACCAAGTGAGGTGGTTGCACTTGCAAAAGAACATGATATAAAGATAGTTGACCTCAAATTCATGGATCTGCCGGGCATGTGGCAACACTTTTCCCTTATGGCAAGCGAGTTGTCCGAAGACCTGTTTGAAGAAGGTTGCGGTTTTGACGGTTCCAGTATCCGTGGTTTCCAGGCGATCAACGAGAGCGATATGTTGCTCTTTCCGGACCCAACGACGGCTCTCATTGACCCGGTCTGCAAGGTGCCAACGCTGAGCATTACGTGTAACATCAAAGACCCAATCACGTTGGAGAGTTACACACGCGATGTACGATATATCGCACAGAAGGCAGAAGCCTATCTACAGTCCACAGGCATTGCAGATACGAGCTTCTGGGGACCTGAAGCAGAATTCTATCTCCTGAACGATATCCGCTACGGGCAGAGCCCGAATTCCGGTTTCTATCATGTTGATTCCGTTGAAGGTAGTTGGAATTCGGGGCGCGAAGAGAATCCGAACCTCGGTTACAAACCGCGCTATAAAGAGGGGTACTTCCCGGTACCGCCTTCAGATACACTTCAAGACCTCCGTTCCGAGATCTGTCTGAAGCTGATAGAAGCAGGCATTGATGTGGAAGTTCACCACCACGAAGTGGGAACCGCAGGTCAAGGTGAGATTGATATTCGTTATGGTCCCCTCACGGACATAGGCGATAAGATTGCCCTGTATAAGTACATCATCAAAAATATGGCGCGTGAGAACAACTTGGTCGCCACCTTTATGCCGAAACCGCTCTTCCAAGACAACGGTTCCGGGATGCACGTCCACCAGAGTCTCTGGAAAGATGGCAAGAACATCTTCTACGACCCACAGGGATATTCGCTTCTCAGTGAGGACGCGCTCTATTACATCGGTGGCTTGCTCGCGCATGCCCGCTCGCTCTGTGCAATCATCGCTCCGACAACCAACTCCTACAAACGGTTGGTCCCAGGATATGAAGCACCCGTGAACATCGCCTACTCGCAACGGAACCGTAGTGCGTGTGTCCGTATTCCTGTCTACTCGAAGAGTGAGAAGGCAAAACGGATCGAATTCCGGACACCGGATCCATCCTGTAATCCTTATCTCGCCTTCAGCGCACTGCTTATGGCAGGGCTCGACGGTATACAGAACCGCATCCATCCCGGTGACCCGCTCGACAAAGACCTTTATGACCTCGAGCCGGAAGAACTCGCAGACATTGAGTCCACACCAGTCTCCCTTGGAGATGCCCTTGATGCCTTAGAGGAAGACCACGAATATCTCCTCAAGGGCGATGTGTTCACTCAAGATGTTTTAGATGTCTGGATTGATTACAAGCGTGAGAATGAGGTCGATGCAGTAAATATACGGCCCCATCCCTATGAATTCTTCCTCTACCACGATATTTAGATCGTGTGAATGAGGCTTTGAAAACGCTCTGTAGGGCGGATCCTTGCATCCGCCCACTCTATTTGTATTATTAAACCTTGAGGGCAAAGATTGTAAGCCCTGATTGAAAGGCAAAGCTGCCATACAACCTTATTTACTTTGAGCAAGGAGTATCACATGAAAAAGCTAGAATGTATTATCCGCCCCTTCAAGTTGGAGGAGGTAAAAGAGGCACTCAGCAGTGTCGGTGTTCGGGGCATGACAGTCAGTGAAGTTCGTGGATTCGGGCGCAGCCGTGGGCATACCGAATTGTACCGCGGTAGCGAATACACGATCGAATTTGTCCCGAAATTAAAAATCGAGATCGTTGTAGCGGAAGAAAATGTTGACAAGGTCGTCGAAGCCGTGCAACAGGCTGCTGCCACTGGCAAAATCGGCGATGGCAAAATTTTCGTGCTGCCCATTGATGAAACCATCCGTATCCGTACAGGTGAAAGAGGTCCTGCCGCTGTTTAACTTTCTATTCTCTATTCTATTTTCCCCCAGAGGTGGGTTCTACACCCGCCTCTTTATTTTTTTAGGACTTACGCATTTCCTCTTAAGGTCCCCCTGATAAGGGAATTTAGGGGGTTATAGTAAAACCCGAAAATATGTTTACACTTTAAAGAGCAACAATTCCGCGAATACACTCGCTCGCTGGCGAGGTTTCCTAACCTCGCCAATGTAAAGTTAATTGTGGGTTTTACTATAAATACAACGAGATACTCTCACTGTGAGGCATTTTCAGCAAAATATACCTTTTCTCTGTTCAATTTGCGTAAGGCCTGTTAAATTGACACCTATGTCTCTTAATTTTTTTAACCCAACATTGAGGCAACAAGTGCCTCCATCGCTGGTGCTGTCCTACAACAGCCGGTAATGAGGATTTCGCTGCCCATGTCTCGTATCCGCCCTCCTGTGTCAACGCCTTGTCCGTGCAGATGTAACCGATATACCCATTCGCCAAACTGACGAGAAACGTTGGCTTCGCATCGGATTTCGACTTGATATTCATCCCCGTTTCAACGAACACCTCTCCGGGCAGTGCCACGATCGCTGCTTCACCGAGACGGATCACTTGAATTGGCGCGGTCATCTGTGCCGGTAACTTCGCTAATCGCTGGCATTCGAGGGCGTAGACATCAACCAGTGCCTGCGGTATCGGCTGCCCAACGACCCAACTAAACGGACCAGTTTCATAGCCATTGTAAGTTCCTTGCGGCACAGATAGTACCTGCTCGGCAACTTTGAGATCTTCATCGGTAATCTGTTTACGTTGGAACGTCAGCGTGGCAAGGTCTCCGCTGAGGTCGAGTGTTTCGTGCATCTCCATGAACTGCATCTCGGTGATAAAATGCCCCGCGAGAACGTTCGCCATTTTCACCGCCTGTTGATGTCCGCTCGCTGTCCATTTCGTCTGTCCACTGAAGTCGGTATTGTTAATCTGTCCCGATGCGGCGTTCCAGAGAAGCGAGATGCATGTATCCCCCAGATAGTGTCGCATAAGTCGATCGAAGTGCCCAAAATAGTCTGCAGAAAGTGCATTTCCATTGTTCGTGCCGATGTAGTGGAGCGAAAAGTTCGCAACAGCGGAGATGGGTGTACCATCATCCGCTTCAACGAACATCATTGCCAACTCTGGATCGATTGTACCGGTCGGCTTCACAAGATCTGGGTTTTCGATACCGGGATTAAAACGGACAGTGCCATCTTTCATGTGCCACCGGCGATTGAAGGTGATGCGTTCTTCATCAACACTGGCGAACCCTACCCGTGCAGGTTTGAGTCGCCACACGGCGAGTTCAAACCGCATCGGCAATTTTCAACGGCACCCACTCGGTGTAATCAGTATCCTCATCAACACCAAGCAGATCAGCAACAGCGACGGCGGTATGTGTGTGTGTCGCGTTCACCATGACGTGCGCTGCGGGGATACCACACCTATCAGCAATGCGGGCTTTGGCAGCGTTTGCGACTTTCTCTGGTATAGCGATGAGATCACAGGTGACTATTGCGATCCGCGTTGTGCCATTATCAATGACAAGGGCTTTGGCAAAGAGTTCATCGTCAATATTTTCAGCGTATCTCGGTCGAAAACCTCCCGGCATCCTTGTGCCAAGCGGTGGCGTTATATTCGTTGTCGCACTTCCGGCTTTTGAGGGTGTTTGCATTGTCTTGACTCCTTAGTGTGAAACTTGTGAAGAATTGAGACTTATCTCAGTCAACCGGAACCGCACCAACTATTATTTTCGCTGTTTTGTCATGATTGTAGCCTTGGGATACCGGTTGAGATTTCTGGTTTCCGGTCAATCCGAAATGGATGGATGTCAAAATCGGTTTCGCCATTCAGTGTGAGTTCACTCATGATGCATCCAACAAGGGAGCAAAACTTGAAGCCATGTCCTGAGAAACCTGCAGCAATTAGTAAGTCTGGGCAGCGTGGGTGTGCGTCAATAATAAAATCTTCGTCCGGGGTTTCGGTGTAGAGGCAAACCTCGGCGTGTGTGGTTTTCCCAAGTTCGGGGATGCGTTCTTGTACGTAGGCATCTATGTGTGCAATGTAATCTGTATCCGGTGTGCGTTCGCATGTATCGGGGGAAACGATTTGCCCCCTTCCGTGACGTGCCATCTTTACACCAGAGCCGAATGCGGGAATACCGTAGAGGAATTCGCCATCTGCTGTCGCTTCTGTGAAAACAGGGAACCGATCAGGTTGGAAAAGGTTAGTATCTGTCGGTTGGTAGTAGCACACCTGCTGTTTTGTAACGGTAAGCGGAAGATCCAATTCCGCGAGGAGTTTCCCTGTCCATGCACCTGCGGTTACAACGACTTTTCTGCCGTGAAATAGGTCGTTTTCAGTGCGGACAGTGGGGACATCTGCTTGCCAATCAATGTCGGTTACGGGGGTTTCCTCTCGGACTGTTGCACCGTGCTGTTCAGCTAATTGCAAGTGCGTAGCGACACACTCGGAAGCATAGAGGAAACCGGTGTCTTTCTGCCAGAGGATGTCCATATCGTTCGATACTCGGAACTGTGGAAAACGTTCTGCCAATTGCGTCGCACTCCACCACTCGGATTCAACGCCAGCGGCATCTAAGTTCTGCCGCGCAGTGCGTCGTAGGATTCCGCTTTGCACACCGAGACACACGCTCCCTGTGATGAAAAGCAGAGGACTTCCCGATGCGAGATTCGAGGTCGCGCCATCGGCGTCGTATGCGGTTCTCATCAATTTCAGTATAGAAGGCTTTATCGTAAGAAGAACGGATGATCCGGGTTGGACCATGCGACACTGCCGAAGGTGTGTCCACGCTGAATGGAACTGTTCTTAAAACAGCAGACGTCAGCACTGCCGATCTTAGCGAGGTGCATATGCGCTCGCGCTCTGCCCCATCCCGACCAGGCACGATGACGATTACATCGTCGATAGTGAACGTTCATTTTTCTATCCTTGCGGCCTTCTTGCTGAGCGGTCTATAGTTTAGTTGCAGAGGTTTTTTAACCTCGCCCAGCGGAATTTATTATATTAAGGCTATCCGTGTGACAATGAAACGGGTCGGCACGGTGGTGAACTCTGGTGCCGCGATCGTCGCCGCACAGCGACAGCATCGGTTTCCATGGAATCTACGTTCAACGTGAAATTCTCGTCATGCCTGTTGTCACAGATGTGGGGCTATGTTGTAGCGAAACGTTGTTTGTAACGCCACACGACGGCGGGTCGAGTGATCGGTAGACTGATAGACTTGCCGTGTATCATTGCCAACGTGGTGTGGTGGATGACATTCACCCGCTTTTTATCACACCCACGATATCAACACGGTCTCTGCTTCCGCATCACGGTGTGACGGTGTACTCTCTGTGATTGATGCTCTCAACAGATCTGCCTTCCTGTTCCGATTGTTTCCGTGCTTGCTCTGTAGTGCCACGCTGCGATGACTTCCGGTGATCACCTGCATGCTAGCCCCGTTGCCTGTGTCGCTGTCGATCTATGGCATACCAAGCGGTAATCGCATTTGGCGGTTCGAGCCCCAGTACGTTACGTCTCTGTGCCATGCGACGAACTTCTCAGACGAGGTCCGTTATTACAGAAGAAGTGCGTCGCTAACAACATGATGTCAGGACCGATAAGTGCCTCAATAACATCCACAATTTTCGGATGTGTGGCGAGTTCCCAGATATGGTAGTCAAAATGCCAGTCATGAGGCCGATTTCGCTTTATTTTCTTGCCGACTTCTGCTTCTAAGGCATTGTAAGCGTGCTGAGCGTGTTGCTTCAGTGTTTCATCGGCAATGTGGATACTGGTCAAGAATCCGTTTTTTTGGTAGTCTTCGGCGAGTTGAGCGTTTGTGGTTTCATTGTGATGTCACTCTTTATGGGAGCTTCCCGTAGAAGTCTGCACTGTCGAAACCACTGTGAATCTCGGTTGGTGCGATTCGTTCGGGTTTTCATCGTTTCAAAAGTTTTCAAGGCGAGTGATACTGTCTTGTCCATATCTGTTCAACTTTCTCAAAGGTTACGGGTTGGCGTTCAGAAATATTCAGTTCTTTGTATTCTTCTCATCAACTCTGTTCATCTTTTTTCCGAGCCATTCGACTCATCGCTCTTCACCATACGTTCACACCGTGCGCGGTCGGAGTCGGACGGGGCGTTGCTGCCATCGACGGATATCCGTGTGGTCACTGCATCCGCTTGCGGGCATCCGCGACATATCGACGCAGTCTGGCTCTATTGCCCAGAGGAGTGAGGTTTCAACGTCACCGGCGTGGTCTCCGCCGTTGCCTTGTTGGTCGAACCCAGGCGTGTTCGCCTCAAAGTCAGGAAGTCCGTAGAGTCGCATAGCGAAGTGTGGCTGAATTAGCGTCAGGAGTGTCTTGAGGTCTTGCCAATTCGGACCGTAGTGTCCTGTCAAAAAGATGGCTGCGTGGAATCCGAGCGCATCGGCGGCGCGGACATGGTAACACACATTTTTGAAGTGTTGCCATGCC